TCTCTCTCTCTCTCTCTCTCTCTCTCTCTCTCTCTCTCTCTCTCTCTCTCGCACTCACTCTTGTGTTTCATTTCAATTTATTGTTTAAATTTTTTAGCTGTGATTCAAATCTTTTGTTCATATTATTAGACAATCCATTAAACATTAAATAAAACATAAGATTTATTTTGTTTGATGGACTCAATTCAAATTAATCTTTTCTATGAAATAACATTTTATGAAATTGAAAATATCTATTCCTAAAATTAATCAAATTCTTTTATAAAATTTATAATTATTTTTCATATCTGTAGTGGGAATATGAAATCAACACATTGATATTTTTAGTAATCGAGAAAGATTAATTACAATCATCATACTACGTGGTCATAGTCATAAACTTTTAAACTTAGCTTACTTATTCATACAAATATATGATTTAATGTTCAAAATAGCACATCATGTTTGAGTATTTATAAACCAATATTACTTTGTTTACTGTATTGAATTTTTTCATTTTGTTTATAATATATTTTCATCAATTGTTTAATTGTTAATATTAATTCATCTAATTTAATTAAATGGCGAATAATTTGAATAATTATTTTGAATTTAGTGATTTTGATGAGTGTGAACGCAATAAAATTATTTATTTTTTAATTAATTTTTGTACGTGTACCATATGTTTTGATTAATCTAATTTAATTAAATGGCGAATAATTTGAATAATTATTTTGAATTTAGTGATTTTGATGAGTGTGAACGCAATAAAATTATTTATTTTTTAATTAATTTTTGTACGTGTACCATATGTTTTGATTATAAAAATGATAATAATTTCATTAGAGATTTAATATACCATAGAGTATATATGCAAGATTTTGAAACAGAATCAAAAGATTTAATAATTATGGCTTTTATTATCAGTGGGTTTCAGCAAAATAATTGTAATTTTTTGTTTAAAAACAAAAGGATTTGTAGAAAAACATTTTTATTTATTAATGATATATCGCTTTCCAAATACAGCACTTTATTAAAACACATTAAAAATAATAATAATAATATTTGCGCTAGAGATAAAAAAATTTTTAATCATACAAATAGTGTTAAATATAATTATGATACTAAAAATAAGTGTATTAAATTTATTGAAAATTATGCTCAACAATATGGATACCCTATTCCTGGTGATCAGCCTAATATTAACACGTCATATTGGTCCTATTGTGAAGGCAGTTTGATGTGTTTTGAATAATAAATACTACTTATATTTTTACGTACATGAAGATTATTATCATTATTATTACTTTATTATCAAAGCGACCTGTGTAAAGCCAAATTATGGCTTAAATACAAAAGTGATATTAAAATTTGTACACCAAAAAGTGATGTTTGCAATGAATGCAAAAATTATTTAACTCAATTAATGACAGTTTCTAAAAATTCGAATAATAATGAAATATTTAAAAATTATGTTTTACATAGAAATATTGCAACCAAACAATTAAATTATTTTAATCAACAAAAAATTGAAAGTAAAAGTGATTATTTGACATTTATTAGTAGTAGTAGTAGTAATAATAATAATAATAATAAATATAACGGATTATTACAAATATCTTTTGATTTTATGCAGAATTTAAAGTTTCCAAACTTTATTTTACAACCTGGATCCTTATATTTTAAAAGTACTAGGAATGCAAGCAGTATAACCAGGATAACACTTCCGTCAAACTACACAAAACTTATTATTTATGATGAATATAAAAATGCATGTACTTCTAATAATAGTAATAATAATGAAATAATAGTTTCGCTGGACACATTTCGAAAATTATGGCTTAAATACAAAAGTGATATTAAAATTTGTACACCAAAAAGTGATGTTTGCAATGAATGCAAAAATTATTTAACTCAATTAATGGCAGTTTCTAAAAATTCTAATAATAATGAAATATTTAAAAATTATGTTTTACATAGAAATATTGCAACCAAACAATTAAATTATTTTAATCAACAAAAAATTGAAAGTAAAAGTGATTATTTGACATTTATTAGTAGTAGTAATAATAATAATAATAATAATAATAATAATAATAATAATAATAATAATAAATATAACGGATTATTACAAATATCTTTTGATTTTATGCAGAATTTAAAGTTTCCAAACTTTATTTTACAACCTGGATCCTTATATTTTAAAAGTACTAGGAATGCACATATTTTTGGAATAAGTTGCGGGAACACTGGTTATCAAACTCATTATGTAATTGACGAGGGTGACATTATTCTTAAGAATAGTGACCTCGTTATTTCTCTATTACATAATTATTTGGAAACAAATGATTTAAAATCAAAAAGATTACGGTTTCAGGCGGATAATTGCATTGCTCAAAATAAAAACAATGCTATTATGCAGTATTTACTATGGCGTGTATTACAGGTATTGTATTTTAAATTATTTATATTATTTTACTTCGATTTTAATGATTTATTAAAATGTATTATAATTAATTATTCAGGGGCTTTCAACGGATATTATGATTTCTAATTTAATAGTTGGCCATACAAAGTTTGACCCTGATAGAGGTTTTGGTGATATTAAACGGAAATATAACAATATTTTAGATGTAAAAAGTATTATTGATAAATCTAGTGTTAAAAATAATGCAATACTAATACGTGACCCTCATACCAAAAAAATTCAAATACCATTTTATGAATGGGGTAAATTTTTGGATAAATATTTTGTAAAAATATTAAAATGTATTATAATTAATTATTCAGGGACTTTCAACGGATATTATGATTTCTAATTTAATAGTTGGCCATACAAAGTTTGATCCTGATAGAGGTTTTGGTGATATTAAACGGAAATATAACAAAAATAATTGTGAGACTATTTTAGATGTAAAAAGTATTATTGATATTAGATCACAATTTTTATTACGTTATGATTATGCACTGGGAGTATGGTTTTTTTAAGTTTATGGTAAAATACTTACCCCATTTAAAAACCTATTTATATTTGTAAAAATACCATATGTAACTAAATATCATCACTTTATGTTTAATAATGAATTAGATAATAATGTTTATGTAAAGAAATTTTGTGACAGTAATTATATTAATTTTAATATTGTTAAGAATGAATATAAGAATAATTTTTTTCCAAATAATATTATGCCAAACATTGTCACACCTCCTGGACTTTCGTATGATAGACAATTATATTTGTATAATAATATTAGGGAATTTTGTACAAATGACAATTCAAAGGACTTAACATGTCCACTCCCGATAAATTGTAACTATAATTATAATAATTTTAAATGTGTATCAAAAACTAAAACTAATAAAAAACAAAAACTTGTTTAATAAAATTTTTTTATAAATACTCAAACATGATGTGCTATTTTGAACATTAAATCATATATTTGTATGAATAAGTAAGCTAAGTTTAAAAGTTTATGACTATGACCACGTAGTATGATGATTATAATTAATCTTTCTCGATTACTAAAAATATCAATGTGTTGATTTCATATTCCCACTACAGATATATTAATTTAAATCAATTCCATGCATTTGGTTGTTTTAATACAATTCACATATATAGCACAATGGATATACAGTTTAGTTTAAATTCAAATATAAAATCTCTACAATTTATATTAATATTTTACATTTGATATCTTACATAATTAGATTTACTACATTTTCTGGGAATATATGACAAACACATCAATGAATTTTAAATAATATAAAAAGATAATTTAAACGGAAGTTGTAATTATTAAACTTATTATAAATAGATAAATAACATTATTTACTAAAACACAATATTTACAAGCTGTAAATATTTATCATAAGTCAAGTATAAAATTATTAATGATATAAAATTGTATTATAAAGTGGAGCTTAATAACATTTACAATGACACAGT